GGACTGTAGAATTGTTAGGGAGACGGAGAGACTACCAGATGCAAGGGGAATAGTGGAAGATTATTGAAGAAGACATAAGAGAGAGCTAGCTTTGCCAAGATTATCTCAAATAGAATCTGTTGGCTCTACACAAGTTATAGATCCATCTATCATATCTCTTCATATCATCAAGTAGTCAACGTGACTATCGTATTTGCGCGAAATGAACTTTCCTCAAAGCATTGGGCCTGTTTTACTCTTTTTCTCAAATAACAATGTATTTTTCAATTGTGTTATTTAATTTGCGACATATTTCTGTTAATCAATACCATCATCAGAAGAAAATGTACGCTAGCTTCTTATGGAATGGTCTTGAGTTTTGTCTACTTTTATCTCTATGAAAGACATCATGTTTTGCATTATTCACAGAGTGGCTAATATTAACTTAAGCATAACCCAAAATTATTCATGTGCAATGCATGTGTGCACCAATTATTAGTTACTTCTAAATGTCACTATAAGTAAAAAACTTTTGATTACTATTTTTACCCTCAAACAATTCAAAAAAGTCATTTTTGTTAACTCATTTATGCTACAACAGAAAACTAACAATCACAAGTATAACTGATACGCATAATTTTAGTCCTTACAAATTCTAATAATTAATTTTTAAGTTTCAATTTTTATTGAGTTTAAATTTTTATAGGACTTTTTTTAAGGCCTAAAGTCTTATGGATTTAAATAATGAGACAAAGAAGGGCAAATGTAATTTTTCCCTCATTTTTAAATGACACTGTAGCGACTCTTTTAAACACTTAATTATTTCGTATGTAGGCTTAATTGATTTCTTAGTGTACGACGGACGAACGTTGGTCATAACACAAACATGAAGTGTGGATTGGATAGTAATTAGCGGGATAGAACAATTCATGGTATCAAATAAATTATAGATAGTAAGTTAGATGAGAGAGCAAAGAGATACATCTACGAGGCCAAAGGGTGGTGTGGCTTCCAACTCATCAGCAGACATGTCAAGAAGGCACCACAGAGGGAATTACTTCTAACATACTGTAAGAGTTTAAATTTTAGGAGGAGTACTCTTCTGGCCAAGAATCCAACAAGGAAGTTATTATGGCTTCTTAGCTCACACATTCTTTTACTGCAATATGGGTTAAGGTTGACTTGGGTTTCATTCACTCCCTGCAGATGAATTAAAGTTAGATTTTTTAAATTAAATTATGATAAAATTTGAATGAGAGTTTTGATGTATTTTTTATTTATTAAATGTGAGATATGTGTACCCCATATATTTATCTCCTTTTAAACCGTGATCTAAACATACCATAAGAGTTTATGAATTTCAACACTTTATCCATGACATGTCCCAAGGAAATTTCCTGAAAATTAACGGTTTATTAAAACATGATGTCATAATAACTTTCATATACCATACATATCACAATTTTAAATTTTTTTCCTAAATTAATCAATTTGAAATTTAAATAGATTAAAGAAATGATGTTGTTTTTACTCTATATTGCGAGCCCCGAGCCCCATCCATTGTCGCAAAAATAAAGTTAAAGTGGGTGTAGCAAGATAAAGTATTATTAGTTCAAATCATACAACAGTTAAATATAATTTAATTTTTTATTTTATACTCCTTTGATATATTTTTTTCTTAGTTTTACATAGAATCATCAATTTACATAAATAAAAACATGTATTACTTGAATGCTGAATGAAATCTCTTTACATTTCTAATTTTATTAGAGCTAATCTCACTTTGCACTCTAAAATATGTTTTGATTCTCAGTTTATAGTTTTAATCATTAAAAATTTTAATTTACACCCTCAATGCTACGAATTGATAGCAATGTGAATTTGACTCAGACTATCGTTCAATTTTTCATTATAAATTTAGACACCTGAGGTGCAAGTGCGCATATCTACCGCTGTAGATCTTCTCCGGCCATCAATTTGACACTATTTTATGTATTAAAAATATAATTTTATAATATGATTTTATTAATCCGATAGAAACTAATCATATTATGTGCAACTCGTTTGAGACGCCAACGTGATGAAAATTTATACATAAGTCTATGTCTAAAATATTTACAATTTATGTGTTTCAATTTATAACAAAAACTTGAAGGCAGTCTAGACGAGATCCACATTAATATCAATTCATAATATTGAGGATATAAATTAATGTTTTTAATGTGCGAAAGTACAAATTGAGAATCCAAACATCTCCTACAAGCGTAAAATAAGATTTAACTATAGAGACATGTATAAATGATGCATTGCTTCTCATCCTTCCATACATAAAACATCATCAATATATTCGTCCTTAAACTTGCCGAAATGGCAATCTCAGGAACCAATTTCAACCTGTTCAGCCACCGTTCTGTGGCTTACGAATCTGCATCAGAAAATAAACCAGACTCACTTTCATTCTACCGTAGTTTCTTGAGAGACAATGGCGCGGTACCGATCGACAAACTCGGCCACACGGTCCTCCATCTTCTGGCCATCAATGGCAATGTGGCCGCCATGGAAAGCCTACTTCAGGCAGACCTCCTGCTCGACGAAATGCTCGTGAGAAAGGATGTCAACGGCAACACTGCGCTGCACGAAGCTGCGAGGTTTGGACATAAGGGTGTGGCGGAGATCATGGTGAAGAAGAAGCCGAGTTTAGCTTTCGAGAGGAATAATTTGAACGAGACGCCTCTTTACCTTTCCGCTGCGTATGGTAAGAAGGAAGTTTTCGAGCTTCTGGAAAGTTATAGCGATTGCAGAGCAAGGAGGTACGATGGCTGCACCGTTCTTCATGCTGCGATTGAAGGAGAACGTTACAGTATGTTTTCACTTCCATTTGTTTTTTAATATTCATTTCAAAGTGGTAATAAATAAGATCACCTGCAATCTTCCTTGATGGAACATATATATTAGGAAGCTTAACCTGGCACCAGGGGCGGCCCAACGTAAATGGGTTTAACTATCACAATGTAATATTTGGTGCAAAAGATTATTCGCATTACGTTTTAGGAGTGAGCTAGTAGTACAAACGTGCATTCAAAGAGAGAGAGAGGGGCTAGCTTTTCTGAGGGAAAAAATTAAAGCAATCATATATAAAATATAATATTACGAGGACTTTATTGAACTTAACTAAGTGGAGAAATCTTTTAGGCCTAATAAAATTAGAAATTGAATTGGGCTCTAAAAGTGAGGGCCTAAAAATTCAGGATCCATTTAATACTCAAATTTATAAAATTTTCGACCTTAGAGGCCTCTATGGCTAGGGAACCCTGCCTGACACAATCCACAAGTACAGCATTGCATTTGCGGTGACAACCTACCCGTGCCGTGAGTTTTGGAAATTGTAGTTTAATCTTTTTACCTAGTTTTATTAACATAAAAAAGAAAAGATAAGATCGCAATGAGAAGTGCCCACGTAATATAGATATCTCTGAGCATAACAACGATATTAAGAGCTAGGTTCTTAATTTTGGACCTCCTCCATAGTATTGGTATGTGTCACACAAAGCATCTAATGTGATAATTTAGAGTAATAGCCTAACACAAAAGAATTTGCATGTAAGAAATGTGAAGTTATGAATGAAAAGCCACCCGACTATCTCAACAACTTAAGATTTTGTATTTTGTCAACTAGGTTTGGTTGTGAGCATATTGGACTCATACCCTGATCTTGCTCAAAAACATGATGAGAAGGGTACTACTCCTTTCAATTTGTTGGCCTCAAAACCATCATCGTTTAGAAGCAGATCGGCATATGTGTTGTATGATCTAAGCAGGACACCTTTCATCCCCTGGCAGGTAGTTGAAGCAGTAATCTACAACTGTAAGTATTACATCATTACACCACCCTAGTATTAAACGTAATTTTTTGTTTATATATCTATTTTGTGCCGCTTATTCCAACTTCCTTTTTAGAATATAACTTAAAAAGGAAAATCTTTAAGTTTTGTCCCAGAAACAATCAAACAACAAAGAGCCGAATAGGTGTCCTAAGGTTTCCACATCTTGTTTTCTTTCTTTCTTATGAGGTTATGACACGCTGGGCCTTCAGAATGGCAATAATTGATTGAGGTCTTTGAAATGTATACTAGCACATCTTTCTTCATCTGCTTGAGCTTGTAGAAAAGTTATTTTTTTTTATCAAGCAGTTAAGTAATAGCCTACTTAACTAGAATGACTTTTGAGTTTTGCATTATTTTGTGGCTGAGCAGGTATTCCAACAATGTATGTCAAGACAGCTTTGGAGCCACAAGCTGCCAGGAATGTAGAGGACCCAAATGATAATAGACTTGGAATTTCCAAACTAGAAAGGTCTTCTTTCATCAGAAGAATCTTAGGTGTGCTAGCTCTTCTTATTCTTGTTTTTCGTCTGCTTTTCTTTAATTTTCAATGAATTAAAAAGATTCACATACTTGATTTCTGGTTAAACAAGCTAAAAATCCTAAAGAAGAGAAGTCAACTACCGGATGAAACTATATTGCCACCATTCAAAAAGAAAGTATGAATAGCATTTTCCAGGACTATCAGTCACTTCATCACTTTCAATGGTACATGCAATTTATGATATTTTTCTTTGTCTGCTGCTGCTTCTACTTTATTTAGAGTTTCTCTCCTGTGATATAGGTTACTGGTATTTCAAAAAAATTGATGATCCCAAGCAAAAGCATGAATTTTCCGTAGTGCTGGCAAAGAGATTGATTGGCAAAGAAGATTGGAGTCGGTACATTTACTATGAAAGTATAGACCCTGAAGACAGCTCATTTGGGATATCTCCAAGGAAGACAAAAACAGTGCCTGACCCGCTAATACAGGCAACAAAGTTCGGCTTTCTCGAGCTGGTAATGGTGATCCTCCAAAAATATCCCGAGGCTGCAGGTTCCTTTGATGAGAATGGAAAGAACATACTGCATATAACAGTGGAGCAGAAGCATAGGTTTATGTATGACTACTTGATGAACTTTGGTGCATATTAGGATAGGATGCTAGCAGATATTGATATCCAAGGGAACACCATCTTGCATCTTGCAACATGCGTGGGGTATCCGACAAGCTCTCCTTCTGGATTCACAGATGCTGGTGATCGATGGAATGCCAATTTTCATGTTGGGGCAAAGCGGGGAAGTGTTGGAGTGGTGAACCAGCTGAGTTGGGATGTGCTTTGGTTTAAGGTATTGAAGGCAATTTTAGACTTTATAGCATGTGGATGTGGGGGGAAGTTTGGTCCCCCTACTGTCAATGTGGGTTTGCCACTGCCCATGGCCCGCTGGTCCACTGGTTGCAGGCCAACTCTCAACCTTACTCTTAGCACAATACTTAAAACACCTTAAACCTCGTTGATGCTTCCTAATCCTTTTTCTTTTTCCTACAGCGAGTAAAGCATGACTCTTATCCACACCTATGGCATCTTCACAACATTGAGGGAAAGGCAGCAGAAGAATTATTCGAAGAAAATCACTCAGTTCTCCGAGAAGAAGCAGAGAAAGCAGCCAAACATGTGAGTGACAACTTAATCATCGTCGCCATCCTCATCGGCACAATCAATTTCGTGGCATTTTTCACTGTCCCTGGAGATTTCAATCAAAACACTGGCATTCCCATGTTCTGTGAAAATTATAAGCAAGAAATGGATTTCTTCCTGGTGTACATAGGCCTTGGTCTCTTCTACGTGTTTCTGTCCTTAGCAACTCTCATGTTAATTCAGCTATCGTGGTTTGACACCAAGGATTTTCACATTGCCATTCCAGCAAAAACTATACTTTCCTGCATCACCATTATCTACTCCACTTGTTTTTCTGCCACAGCGTATGCTCAGTGGTATATTCTTGAAGGGAAATTGTCAACCTTCTTGACCACCTTTTTGACTTTGTTCCTATTGCTTGTGTCGGCAGTGTTGGCCCTCATAATGATCAACACGAAGGTATTGATATTCTATTACATGTACTATGCGATACGCTATTTGCTGTCTTATAAAAGCCAGGACTAGTAGAGCCTGCTTGTTTATAGTTTTATTTGATGTTTGCATTGAAGAGAATTACAAATGAACAAAGGCCTTCTTTTTGTTGGTACAATGGACAAGGAAATCAGAGTTACCTAGGTGCTCTTACAATAGTTAATACTGGTTAGTTTAGCACTAATTAAGTGCCTGATCTTACCGGGATTCAACCATTTGTAATTTCTTAAGTTGACAAACCATCCACCCATTGGTTTTCTTCTCGAATAATATGCTTTGGTTGAATGTAAGCTAGTCATTACATACTTGCAATTCTTAACCAGTGCTCTGTTTGTATGTCTTTCAACATTGAATGTGATTGAACTTATTGCTCCCAAGGAGTCTATATCTACCGTGACTCTATTGTAAGTGTGGCAATTTCTAACACAACACGAAAACATGACTCAAAATCGACCCAAAATTAGCGAATTCGAGTTAAGGATTTCTCGACATGACGCTATGGTCACCGAGTCTAAGCTGATTTTGCGGCCCCAGAATGAAGCTGGTTCATCGGAGATCATGTCGGTAGTTACTGTTCCGACCCCAGATTTGGGGCCTCAATACGAGCAGCTACAAGGGCATTCTTGGCGTGTTGATAAGCCAAAAATTAGAGATAACAATCAAAGGATTCCTATTGCTAAGGAGGGAATCCCGGAGGGAGTAATCCCATTACAGATTCATAGTTAAGATTTGGTGATTAGCTTAAATAAGGAAAGGAGGGAAGGGGTAATTCCAGCTAGGCTTGAGTTTCTGGGCCTTACAAAAACTCAACAAGCCTCTAAAATAGGTGATTTATATAGGGTGGGCCTAACCTCAGACTTCTTAACTGCGGTCCATATGGATATATTGGAGCTAGTGGAAATCAAGGGCTCAATCATAGAACACCCAAAAGACCTAATCCAAACGAAAGATATTGCTTTTTTTGGATAGGGGTCTTCGCCTCCTGAGCTCAACATTGGGGCAGTTAGGAATTTGAAGCTGGCTAACAAGGGAAAGGAAAGTGGTCTCGTAAGGCCAAATCTCCTATTCCAAATGCAAATTGGGAAATCCAAGAGGTCAATGTGGTGACAAGATACAGGGAGATGATTGAGGGTGTTTAACAATTCTTGGAAATGACAATGTTTCTTGCAAGACGGTTCAAGTATTACAATCCACTTTTCTCAACTCATCAACATCGGCGGCAACTATTGATCAGTCCCGCTAGGAGCTATGATAGACGTCTGCTAGAACTGCCAAGGGGTTGGGAACCCTTGTGCAGTTTGTGCGCTTCTTGATCTGGTGAAGCCGAAAGAGCCTAGTTTGGTTTTCTTC